GAGTCTGACCTTCCTCTCAGTCAGGCATTATTCTTTGGCTTATAATGGGCATTGAGTGAATCTTTGGAGGAGGTGCTCTTTAAGATTGGGCTAATACAGCTCCTTTCGTACTGGTCTTTTTTTAGAATTGGAGTAGGCAAGGCGAATATTGTTGTGTTGTAGTTGAGGTGGTCAGAAATTTTTCGTTGGTATTAGGCCATAAAGGGTGGGATGAAAGTCCAGAATGCTGGGAATGAGAACTATGTGGCCCTCCCCGAGAGGAACACGCCCACTGTTGGGAAGGGCACGCCCCCTACGTAGTGGTCACGCCCCCAGCCGGTTCCAGGGACACTCCCACCCAGGAACCTGGAATGGAGGAGCGGCGGGAAGAAGAGGGGCGGGGTTTGGGAAAGAGGAGCGTTCTGGCTCCCCCAACGAAGCTGGAATGGTGGGACCCAAAGAGGTGAATGGGGTGTCCAGCTGCGCTAGGGCAGGTGTTCCCCAATGTGTGCTCTGGTTGCCAGGCGGAGGAGGTCCAGAGGGGGCACAGGGCTGTGGGAGCAGTATTTACTCTTGAGTAAGGTTTTATATTAATTCTAACATAGAATGTCATAATGTACATATATGTATGTACATATCATATGTAAATACACACATGAAGTCTTTTTTTAGTTGGAAGTGAATAATTTTTAACTTTTTGAAAAGAGTAAAAAAAAACCCCTGAAGATAATTTTAATGAAAAGACATGACATTTAGCATTTCCTGACTTTTATTAATATTAAAGATAACTAATGCTACTCAACTACTACTTCTATAGAGGGTCTATACGATTTACAAATGATGCTAATTACACATATTTAATTTAATTAATGTAACACATAATTTAATATATAACTTGTTTCCAATAATATGAGGTCAATAATTATCACCTAAAGGTAAATTAGCTTGGTTAGTATTTTACAGATCATTGATAGTAGTACAAAAGTTGAGTCTAGGGCTATATATATAAACCAAGGCCCCGTCAGGAATAAGAAACCAAACAGTAAGTTATATGAGAAGTATATAATAAAAAATATTTTGCAGGAGTAACTCTGGTCTCTATGGAGTGAAAAGAATTCTGCAAATTGGGAAGGGCCCATATACCCTGAAGTCTGTGGCAGGGCACTTATGGCAAGAAGAGTGCTATAGAGGCCCTCTCGCCCACTTCAGGATCCAGACGTTCTTTTAAAGGGCATGGGCTCTGGTGGAGGGATAGGTATTCGATCATTGTATAACTGAAACCCAAGCACAAAATTTTGTAAGTCTACAACTGCACCCCATGGTGCTTCACGAATAAAATTTTTTTCAAAAAAAAGGGCATCAGGGAACTACTGTGGCCCAGAGTATGGCAAATATGTTCTTTGAGGCACCGTGTTAGGGGAACTTGCAAGAAAGCCACTTTCTGAAGTTCTAGGGATACAAGGTGTCTAATTGCCATGGTATGTTCCAGAAACCAGTTGAGAGAAACATCCAGAACCAGGAAGACCTTTTTATCCCTTTTCCTTCTGTGGAAAATGATTTAAATTGTGAAGATGTTCTCTGTGGAAGATAATTTAAATTGTGACTATGGGAAGGGAAAGATATTCAAGTATCATGAGCAAGATAGTGACAAGTAGATTTTGAGTGAGGGGATATTGCTAACTTGACACGCTATCAACAGGTCTTTTTTACACACTGATTGGATCATGGTGCATTATATTTGATGTATCATGAAATATAATCTTATTTAAATAAAGGAAAGAGGCAGAATAGGAGAAAATGATAAGGGAGAAGAATTAGGAAATAGAGACAATATAATAGGATTTCACAAGGATATTTACATCAGCAGTGCTTTTCTTTGATATGTTTCTAGGTATATCGGTGTGGATAGTCTTACTTTGAATCTTAGAACACAGAACCAAACTAAAATTACAAACAAGATGCCTACAGGATATGGCCAAAAAAAAGTCACGCTATTATAAACCCTTTTATATTATAATATTATGTGTATTGTCCTTTTGAATTAATGTTCCCATATCCCTGGCATACATTCCCAAGAGTGAAGTTGTTGGTTTATATGGAAGTTCTGTTCATAACTTTTTGAGATATCACCAAACCATCTTTCAGAGACTGAACCAGTCAGCAGTACCACCAGCTTTAAATGAGTTCTTTTTTAACCCAGTGCTTATTGTTTCTGATTTGATTTTAAGAGTTCCTTCATTCTTAATAGTGTGAAGTGGTGTGTGGCAGTTTATCACTCTGAAGCATGTTGGTTTGGCGTCCCTGACCTCCATCTGCAGGAGTCTGTCTCAGAGACTGAGACAAACATATGGAACTGTCCAAGCTTCAGGTTTGTCTGCAGTGAGCTCACAGGCTGGCCAATTATTCAATACATCGCTCACATGTTGCTCCAAACTTGTAAGCCATGGTTTAAGTTGAACAAGATAAGAAGGACGGTTAGTGAGCACATCAAAATTCAATATGTACATTAAGAGCAGAGGCTGGGGATATTTCACATAGCCAATCAGGAGTCACCTTTAAAGTATAAGGTTGCTACAACTTCCTACTCTACTTTAGTCTGTTGCCCTCTATATCTAAAATACCTGAAAATGTTTTATTCTATCCTTTCTTGGGATAAAGTATGCTTGCTTGTGAACACACAGTTGCTCTGAGATCTAAACCGCTGACCCAGGGGACTACGTTTTCCCACATTTCCTCACTTTTATTTTTCAAATGAGGCCTGTTAGTGTCATGAAAACTTTGCCTCTTCAGGGTGTTTTCCAAAGGTTAAGAATGATGTCAATTTCTGAGAACAGTCCATTAGATTGGGGGGTGTTGGTGCCATCTTCTGACCTAGTACAGGCTCGTGATGTTGCAACAAATCATCAATAATTTGTTGATACTGGCAATCAACATTATCAATGTTGCATTATCAATAATAATGCAGTAGTGTTCCAGTGACTGCACAGTCCATATTTTAACAGTATCCCGAATTCAAATTTTGTGGGATTGAATTAATTCCACCAATCCAAGGGAGTGTGCCCACTCCTTTATTTCTAGTTGGTAATTAATCATTTGCTGATGCAATATAACTTGAAGTCTGTTAATCATTTTGGACAAAGTTGGGTGGAATGCCATGCATAAGTGTTTTTCTACTTCAATCCAAAGCACTGATTGATTATCTGGGAGTGCACTCATCTGAGCGTATATTTAAATAAGGTCACATAAAAGTCTAGATTGATAATAAGAGCTTCTTGCCTTAGGCTGAGATACTTTACTACTAACTCCAGTGCTTCTAGTAGAGTGAGGATTTTCTTATCAATGAATGCTTGAGTTAACAGCTCCTGGGTAATGTTTTCTATAATCCAGTTTACTAGGACAAACATAGTGTGCCTTAAGAGTTACCAGCCAGCGCAGATGCTGGCTACTTGCTATCATTGGGCTAGGTTAGTATTTGTAGGATATATCATAGTATTCTGCATATTAACTAGCTAAGTAAAATTACTTTTCATGGCTTAAACATATGTACTGGAGTGTGAGGTATTCCCTGATTTTGTTTTCCTGCTCTCTCAAGGCCAATCTCTATGATGGTAGGTGTTGCGGGTCTAGTAGCTTTTGTGCCTCAATAGGGCCACATCATGTTGTTGATTCAGCTGTAGGGTCTGTAAACACAGTATGAGGCATCTCATTGCCAAATGGGGAGGCGGGGGAGTTCCCTTTCTCATGTTGCCTCATGGTATGGTTTTGCCTTTCTTGTTGGGAGTCACACAGTTGTTCACCTGTTGCATACCCAGTAGGTAAACTCAAGCATCCCCTCTCCCCACGTTAATCCCCCTGTTCCTGGCCAGATATCTATCAGCAAGAGTGCAAAAAGAAATTCGAAGAGAAAACAAATTGTCAGCAGACTGTGCATGTTTTTGTGTAGCCAAGAGACCTTGAGAATCAAGGTTTAAACATTTTTAAGTAAATAAAACATTTTAAGAAAAATAATGTATGATTTAAGACATAATTATGTTTCAGCACAGGAGGCTGTGGTGGCTGGCTCACTTCAATCTCCCTCTTTTTCATTCATTCTTTCTTTTTTTTTTTTTTTACCAAGAAGAGTTTATATAGGTAGATGTGCTCTTTCTAGTTTCACTAACCAGGTTGAAAGGTTGAATGTGAAGGTGCCAGACCATGGTGCTATTGAGGTTTTGTGATGCCAGGGAACACCAGGGCCAGCTGATGATGGATTTCAGGGTCACAACTGGCAGTGATTGCTGTGGGGACATGTTCCCCTGGTTTTCATCTTATTGATAGTTTACAACATGTGTGCTGACAATCTGTGTAAAATTAATGTAGCTTATTGGTTATTACCTTCATATATAATAACTAATTTATAACTACTCTTATAACTTATTTATAACTGCTCTTTTAAATTAATAGCGATCTCTGATATTAATAAAGCCCTTACTATCTAATTTTTAAAGGCATTTATATGAGCAGTAATATTTTTAGAGAATTACATATGGCTAAATAAAATATATGTGAGGTCAGATAGAGAGGACCATGGGGAAGGTACTTGGAGTTGCACATTGCTAACCTGACTTTGATCTCCAGCACTGTATATGGTCCCGTGATCCCCACCAGGTGTTGTCCCTGAGCACAGGCCCAGGCGTAATACTTGAGCATTGCTAGGTGTGGCTCCAAAACAAGAATTACATGTGTCAGCAAAACCATAAGCATCGGAATTATTAAATAATTTAATAATTGTTTCTGTAGTGATGATAGACCTTAGTGGAAGATCATTGGTACTTAAGTGACTATATATTGGAGGAAAATTATTAACCTGCACTCTTAAAAACATATATATTGTTGTAAACCATTAACTAAACATTAAATAGAGACAAATATAAATCAAGTAATATTTCTTCACTTAAGTAATCGTATTAGAAAAAAAAGAAACATACTGGTAATTTTATGTGTTTAAAATGAAATTTTAAAAATCTTTTTATATTTTATAGGACAGAATGATAGATACAATGAAGTCATCAAGAAGAATGTTGCCATTGAAATGTTATTTACACTCTATCCTCCTCAAGGAGCCCAAGTGAAGGAGAATAAAAGATCTGTGTCAACTTGGTTGAGACCCATCGTAGATGGGGAAGAAGGCTATAAATATATAGGTAAGATACTAAACCTTATTATTTTCTTTTTTACTACAGAAAAATGGGAATGAACTGTATATAACCTCTATGACCACTTAGATTATGTAGATTGTTACATCACAAAATCACAAATCAAAAATCATCCTGTTATTCATCTATTGCCTCGAGCAGGCCCCAGTAATGTCTCTTTCATCCTAGCCCTGAGATTATATTCAAGGCTCTTTAGGAGAATGAGACCCATCATTGTTACTGGTATTTGGCATATTGGGTACGCCACGGGGAGTTTGCCAGACTCTGCCGTGTGTAGCCTGCCAGTTTGTCCATATGTAGCCTGCCAGTTTGTCCATAGACCCAGTAAATTATTTTCATCTTTGTTTGGGGAGGGCCTGGGGAAGCTCAGCAGAATCCTGAGCAGTGCTCAGGAGATCTGGGGACACTCTTGGTGATACTTAAACCAGCCGAGTGACCCTGATAAGTCACTGCTAAGGTCCAGAAACACAGTGCTAAATATCAAAAGAGTTATGCCATGTCTGAGAAAGTCATAATCTTGTATAATCATAAAAGCTAAAAACTTTTAAGATATGGAATAGGACCAATATGCCTACTTTTACCACTACTCTTCAATAGAGTTTTGAAATTCGAAACAAGAACAATTAATTAGGGGATAGAAAAGATTTTAAAATATCTCATTTTGATAAGAAAAAAACAAGAGTTTTATGTTTGGTGTCTGACAGAATAATATGCATGGAAATCACATTAACTGCACAATATTTGTTAGCAATGAGTTGAGTGGTGTCGGCCTATAAAATTCATAGATATAAATCTGTTGGATTTCTATATGCAAGTTCATTTCTATGTGAGTTGGATAGAAAGGAAATTTAATTTTTTTTATTTTATAAAGTATCTTTGTATCACTGTATCACTGTCGTGTCATTGTTCATCAGTTTGCTCAACCCGGCACCAGTAACGTCTCCATTCGTCACAGTCCTGAGATTTTAGCAGCTTCTCCTTGTTCGTCCTTCCCAATGCTACCATATTGGAGGCTCTTTCAGGGTTAGGGGAATGAGGCCCATTACTGTTACTGTTTCTGGCATCTCAAATACACCACGGGTAGCTTGCCAAGCTCTTCTGTGTGGGTGGGATACTCACTGTACCTTGCCAGGATCTCCAAGAGAGCCAGGAAATTCTATGTCTCTCTCTTTCGGGAGCTTTGTTTTATAGTCTCAAGATCTTGGCCGTTGATGAGATTACATGGTTCCAGGGGCAGTTGGTGGGTGTGACTGACAAGCTACTGAAAAATGGGGGATCTGGGTGGAGGAGACCCAGTCCCGATCTGAGGAGATATCAGCCATGGGTCCCACATACCTGGGTTCTTCTGCTGGTTCCTTCATGTGTGAGGCTCATCGGAGCATGTAGAGAGTGGCCTTGAGCATGATTGTGGCTGGGTTCTGGAGGTTTTCGGCTACCGGGGTTCTGTTTGGGGCAGGGAGGGAAACTCAACCTGCTCCCCTCCAAGGGGTCCTGGTGATTTTATAAAGTATTTCACAATATTTGATTGCATTTAATATTCAAACACCAATCCCACCACCATTACACCTTCCCACCACCATATTTCGGGTGTTTCCATCCTGAACCCCAATCCCTGACCCAAAGCGGAACCAAAATAATATCATATTTCTAAAGTTGGTTGCCTCCTACTTTGAATCCTATCAAATGTGTTGCAGTACTCTTTGACTGTGGGTACAGTGTGTCCCATGAAGTGTCTTGAGATTCAGGGAAAGGTTCATTCGTGGGTGAGGCTTGGCCCGAGCATGTGGGGAGCAGCCATAAGCAAGGTAGCAGTTGGGTTCTGGAAGAAAAGGGTAAATTAAGGGGTAAATATAATGTACAATTGCATAAAAATAATAATATACTTGGTAGTAAATGCAATAAAAAAAACCCAGCTCCCGGAAGAGAACAGTGCAGTCTCCTGCCCCCACGCCTGACTGTCCTCGCCGGGGCCCCTTGAAGGGGAGCGGGTTGAGCTTTCCTCCCCGCCCCGACCAGGGCTTCGGCAGCCAAAGACCTCCAGGACCAGCCACCAACATGCTGAGACAACTCTCCGCACACATGAAGGTACTGGCAGAGGGACAAAGCCACGTGGGTTCCGGGGCCAAGATCTCCAAGCCTACTCGGATTGGGGCCGAGCATCCTCCACCCAGATCCTCCAAATTCCAGTAGGCGGGGGTCACACCCACCAACTGGCCCCCTGGCGCCGCATAATCCCATCAACGGCCAAGACTCAGAGACTATAAAAACCAGCTCCCGGAACCGCATGGCCACATTCGCGGCCACGCAACATCTTATTATGACATCTTATTATCTCACTCCTACTTTGGACAAACTGGCAGGCTACCGAATGTAGCCTGCCCACACAGCAGAGTCTGGCAAATTCCCCGTGGCATACCCAGTATGCCAAATACCAGTAACAGTGATAGGTCTCATTCTCCTAAAGAGCCTTGAATATAATCTCAGGGCTAGGATGAAAGAGACGTTACTGGGGCCTGCTCGAGGCAATCGACGAATAACAGGATGACTTGTGATTTTGTGATTTGTGAAATGCAATAAAGGAGTTTAAGACCTATACACTAAAAACTAAAGGACATTACTAAAGGAAATCGAAGACTCAAAGAAATGGAAAGACACTTGGAAATCGTCAAAGAACGTAGCTAAAATGGCCATCTGATCTAAAGCAATCTATGTATGCATACAGTCCATGTCAACACATCAATGCCATTTTCTCAAGCAAATAGAACAAACAATTCTAAATGTTTTATGGAACAACAAGTGACCACAAATAGCAAAAGCAATTGTGAGAATAGCACTATATCATATCGTCCCATTGTTCATCTATTTGCTGGAGCAGGCACCAGTGACGTCTCCTTTGTGAGGAGATGCTTCTGGTGCTTGTTGTTACTGTGATTGCAAGATTGCTTGTTGTTACTGTGTTTGACATATCGAATATGCCATGGGGAGCTTGCCAGGCTCTGCCGTGTGGGTGGAATACTCTTGGTAGCTTGCCGGGCTCTCTGAGAGGAATCGAACCTGGGTCGGCCGTGTGTAAGGCAAACACCCTACCGCTGTGCTATTGCTCCAGACCCCCCCCCCCCAAAAACAAAACAAAACAAAAAAATTGCTTTTAAAAAAAGAAAAAGAAAAAAACTTTTATCCTGGCTGGAAAAGAGCCCAGGAGTCTGAGCACAGGTTTTAGTAGAGAAATGCAAATTGCTCTACTAAAATGCTAGTGAGAATAGCCTTTATAAAACAACAACAACAACAACAACAACAACAATAAAGATTGAAAATGACAAGAGTTGGTAACAATATCGAAAAGAAGCTGCTATGATACATATATGTGATGGCAGTTTAAATTAGTGTGGACTTTATGGAAAATGGTATGGAGAATCCTTTAAAAGGAAAACATGAAAATTCTGTAGATCCCATCAACACTACTTTAAGAAATTTAGTCAAAGAATATGAAAACACTTGTTCAGAAGAATATTTGTGCCCTTATGTTTATCACAACACTACTCACTTATGAAATCAACCCAAATGCTCATCAACTGATAACTGAAAAAAGAAGCAATGGTATACATATTCAAAGGAACAGTAGCTTGCCATTAAAAAAATAAAATTGTGCAACTTGGACAAATCACTGATCTTGAGATGAGTATGCAATGTGAAATAGCAAAATGAAAGAGAATTACCAAGTGGTTTCACCCACATGCAGAATATGAGCAACCAAAGTAAGAGATCTGGCAGCAACTTCATGACTCAGTGAAAAGGATTATGTTTACCAAACAAAAAGGAGAAAGTGTAGGAGAAAGAAGCAGAGACATGTTTGAGTGATGGGATGGCACTGAAACTTTAATGGAGGAGTCTAGTGGGTACTGCACACAAAGCTGGACCCCTGAAGTTCCACAAATGTGCACCAATGACAAATCAACAAAAAAGTCCAGAAAATGAAAAGTAGATTTTCTTACAGAAGCATGTCTCTGGTTACCTGGGATATGGGTCTGGAGGGAAAGTGAGGTGATGGAATGCAATATTTGCATGGATAGTTTATGATTCAGTGGGCATACACAAATGTTAAAATTTTTCAGGTTTCTTCTTTGTAATACATGTACAGCTTTTTACTTATAGCTCACTAAAACTGTAAAAAAAATCATTTAAATATACATTTAAAACACCAAGATAGTGAAATGTATATTTTGCTATTTTTTTTTAAATGATGTTATTTTAAAATTTTAAAACTATCATTTTGGAGCTAACCTGTAGGGAATTGCACATTTAATGTCTTTGCATTGATCAAGTGCATATAAAGGTGGATTTAAGTACTCAGTTTTCTGAGGACGAAGAAGAGAAGTAGAAAGAGAATTATGAGAGGAAAAAACTGAAGGCTTTAGGTTCTATGAGATGAATCAAGACTGCTTTGGGAACTTATCCTCTCTTTGCAATTTTCTACCTAAATTTTTTTATAATGTCATCTATATAGACTTAAAAGATTTGTATATATTGTTTGGACACTCTTTGTGGATATTGAAATCACATAAAAGTTTGCAAAGATATGTGCAAGTGGCCTTATGTTGAAATTGGCGGACGCCATTTTATAATGAATGTAACTTATGTGCTTATCTTTTCCTCTTTTAATGAGTGACCAGGACCTTGCTTCTATTTTAACTGCAGTTTTCTTGAATGGATTGCCAAGAGTTGCCACATTTGCCTTGAAAAAGATTAGTCTATTACTGAAGTAGTCTGTGAAACTCAGTAATTCCTCAACTATAAACATGTTAGGAATGATAGCTCTGAGAATTTATGTGTTCCAACATTAATACCTCTCCGTGTAAGCACTCGTGTCTATTGATTTTACCTTTTCAATTTAGAGACGTATTGTTGTTAAGAATTGAGCAGTAGTTAACAGAGTTACTGAATGCTGTATAAATAGCAGAGCTTGTTAATGATGTACTAGTGACGTTGTA